CAGCCCAGCCCCTCTCCGTGCCCAGGGTGCTGGGGACCCCACGCACTGCCTGAAGTTGAAGAGGGGGGTGGTGACCCAGCCCAGCGCCTCGGGGACCCGCCGCTGCTTGCTGGCGTCGGAGGAGCCACCCGGGGGTGGCACGGGCACGGCGAACAGGGTGACACTGAGCAGGGTCTCCCGAGGCAGCCGGTTCACCTGCACCGGGAAGCAAATCCTGCAGGAGAGAGGCCAGGGGTCAGCCCGGGGTGCCAGGGATGGGCTCGGGGTGCTGGGGATGGGTTTGGGGTGCCAGAGATGGGTTTGGGGTGCCAGGGATGGGTTTGGGGTGCCAGGGATGGGCTCAGGGTGCTGGGGATGGGTTTGGGGTGCCAGAGATGGGTTCGGGGTGCTGGGGATGGGTTTGGGGTGCCAGGGATGGGTTTGGGGTGCCAGGGATGGGTTTGGGGTGCTGGGGATGGGTTTGGGAAGCCAGGGATGGACTCAGGGTACTGGAGATGGGCTCAAGGTGCCAGAGATGGGTTCAGGGTGCTGGGGATGGGTTCAGGGTGCCAGAGATGGGCTCAGGGTGCCAGNGACTCAGGGTACTGGAGATGGGCTCAAGGTGCCAGAGATGGGTTCAGGGTGCTGGGGATGGGTTCAGGGTGCCAGAGATGGGCTCAGGGTGCCAGGGATGGGCTCAGGGTGCTGGGTATGGGTTCAGGGTGCCAGGGCCCAGCTCAGGGCGCTGGAGATCGGTTCAGGGTGCCAGGGACCAGCTCAGAGTGCTGGAGATGGGTTCAGGGTGCCAGGGCCCTGCTCAGGGTGCTGGAGATGGGCTCTAGGTGCCAGAGATGGGCTCAGGGTGCCAGGGCCCAGCTCAGGGTGCCAGGGCCCTGCTCAGGGTGCCGGGAATGGGTTCAGGGTGCCAGGGATGGGCTCAGGGTGCTGGAGATGGGCTCAAGGTAACAGGGACCATCCCAGGGATGGTCTCAGGGTGCCAGGGATGGGCTCAGGGTGCTGGGGATGGGTTCAGGGTGCCAGGGCCCAGCTCAGGTGCTGGGGATGGGTTCAGGGTGCCAGAGATGGGCTCAGGGTGCCAGGGCCCTGCTCAGGGTGCCGGGAATGGGTTCAGGGTGCCGGGGATGGGTTCAGGGTGCTGGGGATGGGTTCAGGGTGCCAGGGCCCTGCTCAGGGTGCCAGGGCCCAGCTCAGGGTGCCGGGAATGGGTTCAGGGTGCCGGGGATGGGTTTGGGAAGCCAGGGATGGACTCAGGGTACTGGAGATGGGCTCAAGGTGCCAGAGATGGGTTCAGGGTGCTGGGGATGGGCTCAGGGTGCTGGGGATGGGTTCAGGGTGCCGGGGATGGGCTCAGGGTGCCAGGGCCCTGCTCAGGGTGCTGGGGATGGGTTCAGGGTGCCAGGGCCCTGCTTAGGGTGCTGGGGATGGGTTCAGGGTGCCAGGGCCCAGCTCAGGGTGCCAGGGCTCTGCTCAAGGTACTGGGGATGGGTTCAGGGTGCCAGGGCCCAGCTCAGGGATGGGTTCAGGGTGCCAGGGCCCAGCTCAGGGTGCCGGGAATGGGTTCAGGGTGCCGGGGATGGGCTCAGGGTGCCAGGGCCCAGCTCAGGTGCTGGGGATGGGTTCAGGGTGCCAGGGCCCTGCTCAGGGTGCTGGGGATGGGTTCAGGGTGCCAGGGCCCTGCTCAGGGTGCCAGGGATGGGTTCAGGGTGCCAGGGCCCTGCTCAGGGTGCTGGGGATGGGCTCAGGGTGCCAGGGCCCTGCTCAGGGTGCTGGGGATGGGTTCAGGGTGCCAGGGCCCAGCTCAGGG